TTATTGCCTGTGGCAATAAGGACAGCCTGGGAATTCATAATGTTGGTGACTTCATCTGCCAGCTGCATTCACACATCTTTACTACCTGAATAACTGATCTCCGCTACTCCGAGGCAGCACTTTCTGGTGTACAGCATTTGGGAATAAATATTTGATCGCACGTACAACAGAAAAGAGCTCAGATGGTTTAAGGTGTGACAGCAGAAGTGTTTATTAAATTCCGAGTGAGAGCATTGCTGGACAGTAAGAATTTGTCCCATGGTCCCTATCTCACAGGTGTGGTGATGAACAATAAAAGATCCTTTACAGGCAGAGGGAAGGGAGGTGAGGCAACCTCCCACCCCCACAAAACCCAAGCCCCAAGTCAGTTCTTCTGTTCATTAAACCCTCTGCAGGCACCAAGCTACCCATCCATGGCCAGCCAGTCACAAAGAAAAGAAAAGGGAAGTACTAAATTACAAGCCAACTTTAAGAGGGCATTGATTGAGGTAACCAGAAGAGAGCTCAGTATTGTCAATGCTTCATGCAACAGCAATAAACAATCTTCATTAAAAAATGATGCGTGCATCCCTAAGAAGCACAGCGCGTGCCAGGTTTAAGAAAACATAAAACATTCCCCTTGCCCCATGCACAATCCAAAGAAAAAAAAAACACTCGGGATCTTTTTCTTCTACAATTTCATTCATTAGAAGTTTTCTTGCCCGAACTTCTGTATTTGTGCAAATCAAGACAGAAACAGCGAACTCACTCTGAGTAGGGAAGGAAAAGGTTGATGCAGAGGAGCCATCAGACAGCTTCTTCTTTGTCAATGTTTTTCTACTCAGCTGACAATGCAACCAAATCATTACTTGACTGAGGAGTAACTATCAAAAACCTCTTTGCATGAGGGAATAAGCGGGGTATTTCATAACCACACACAGGTGTGCACGGTTTTTAACAAAGCAGGGCTGCATTTACAGGTATGACTGGGCATACCTGAATCCTTCAACACATCTGTTGCAGTTTAAGGGAAATGTTTGCCCTAAAAACTCAGTGCAGTTGTGTGACCAGATTTAGGATTTTGTTGCAGGTCCTGATCACCCTTTCTCTAGCAGTTTTCTATTTCCGAAAGTCTAGATTTGTTGTTCTGTGCAGATACCTTAGCCCTCTGCACTCCTTTAATTTCTCCATTATTTATTATTAGCAGGGTTCTATCCATTCTGAATTTTTTTTGGTGTATATGACATGCATTATTCCCCTATAGGTTATAGTGTAAAACTCAGAAAAAAGTGCCTCATTCATCACTGGTAATATTCAATTACATGTCTAGGCAATGCTTCTGCTTTCTAGATTAGTTTCCATTATTTTTTAGATACTCTTGATTTCCAAAAACTTATCTAATTCTAGTCACACCAAGAAAAGGAATGGCATTCAATGCATACACGTAATATAAGGTTTTTAAGTCATGTCTGTAGAACACTCATCTGAAATAGAGCCAGGTCATTCTGAAATACACATTTTGTGTTGCCGTACTGATTTCTCTCTCAGGGTTCATTGGTTTAGTTGCATAAAGAGTGTGACCTTCAGCTGCAGCATCTCCTGCAAATGGGGCACTTAAAAGGTTTCTCTTGCACCTGTTGTCTAATGAAGTCTTAAATGCAACCTGACTGAAAGCCTTTCCCATCTAGCCAGCTGTCTGCAGCCACAAAATTTCTGTGATTTCTGTATTCCCACCTCACCTTTATTAAACCTGATGCAATAAGCCAGTAGCCTCAGCATAACTTCAGCAAGGATGGAAACAGACACATGAGTGCGCGTGCCTGCTTACCATACACAGTAAGCATTTATTTGCTATGCAGACAAGTCTTTCTTTTGGTGTATATTAAAGCTTCCTGTGTTATAAAGCTTTAAACCCAACGTTGTCCCTTTAACATTTCTTACTGTGAATCTGGAGCAGCATCTGGAATTACAGTTAATTTAATCCTTGAGGGTACATTCTCTCTATGATGCGTATGACTGAAGTGTGTGCATTGAAGAACAAATGTCCAGTAACTTTAGGTGACTACATTTTTGCAAACTTTTCTTAAAGATTTAATTAAAAAAAAAATAACACACAGAGGGAAGATTATCTTAGAAGAATTCTAAGTACGATTTAGATAATTATATTGAAATCTACCTTTTTTTTCCCTGATGTGTCCATGTAATCTTTATAGGAAAGTACCATTACCCTGAAAATGCTATTGCAAATTGTCATGATTGACAGAAGTATTTGAGTTCTTCACTTTTTTTAAAATGGAGGTTTTTTCACTTGTGAGAGTATATTGTTGTTAGTATGCCACACTTTTACAGACACATGTAAAATCACATTTAAAAAAATGTACAAATATCTTATTAAATGCAAAGACAGGGTTGTCACCAATGGGGGAGAAGGAAGGAAGCTATAAAGAATGGCAGAAGAATAATTAAAGATGATAAACATGTACTTGAAATCTTTTGGTAGGAAGAACAAGTGATGGAGTTAGATAAGGAGAGGCGCCACGCTGGTTCTATCTCTAAGCAACAGGCAATCAAACAGCCAGATAAGCATCTTCATAAAGTGCAACAGACTCAAATGCATGGGTCATAACTGAAGAATCACTTCCTGGTTCAGGTTAGGTAGTAAAAATTTATGACCTACTTAAAAAAAAAAAATCCTTCCAACCTAAAAACGTATTTTCCAATAAATTTGTTTTCCATAAAGAATGCAAGCCACTTAGGGCATGCCTTGGTAATAGCAGGAAATGAGAATATTTACAGTAGTGAGCTATAATATAAAATATGCAATGTTGCACATGAACATTTAAAATAAACCTTTCCATGCACAGCTGAGCTTAATGTAGTTTTCCACACATCTCAAAGGTAGGAAGAAAATAAAGCAATTTAATGTGCTCTTCTTTCTGTTGTTGGGCAAGAATCACATCAAATTTCAAAAAACACTGCACATTTTTTCTTGCGTCTCTTCTACTCCGTAGAAGAATTCACATGCCTGTACCATCTCACATAACCTGGCATCTCTATCCTTAACACAGACCAATGCTTTCTGCATGGGAAAGGACTAAGAACCAGGCAATATGAAAACTGCAAATAGATGCTAAAGTCCCTGAATCAAAAATCAATTCAAATCCAAACCGCCTGGCAGTGAAGTTAAATAAAATACTGCTATCAGCATGTCTCTAACAAAATCCATGTATTGTTTATAAGAAACTTATGAGGTGTTACAATAAAATTGAGTCACTGCTGTACAGTAAATATATTTTTAGTGTCATAACAATGTATACAATTGACTTTGGCAATTTTAATACGGACACACATGTTAAATGCATTACCAATAGAGCTTCATCACATTCATATGAGCCATTTCACTTTAAGGCCCCATCTATACTATACGGAGGGTTGTTTAGCGTAGAAGAGGTATGGTCCTATGTGGTTTATTGCTTCTAGTGTCGTTGGAACAAAACAGTTTCAGAACACAGCACAGTTACAGAACAGTTGTATACCACAATTAATACGTATCCCTGCTACAGGGAACTGTACTGCTCCATTCACACTCAAGGAAAAAAATACAAAGAATCCCCCACCCTGATAACCCAGATGTCTCTATCTGTATCAGCTGGCACAGTCACACTGATAGTGAAGAACAACTATGCCATTAATCAGTCTGAATCTGAAGTGTCAGATATACAGACAGAAGCACTCCTGTGATTCCAGCTTGTAACTTCTAGGGGTAATAGACAGGGATGAACTAGTCCAAAAAAAATCATAACTGATGCATTTATGATTTCTTATATGTCAAATAATTATTTTCAAAATTATATTCACATATACTAAAACAAATACAATTCCCTTTAAGTAACCAGCATCAGATGTCTGTCTAAGCTCAATGTGAATTAATTTAGCAAGTTTTAAATATTTGAAAATGGAATTTAGAATGACAATCCTCAATACCCAAAGTAAATGTAGTTATTACCGAACTCAGTTATAAACAGACCTGAGAAGAATCCTCTAATACCCAAATAAATTAATTTGGCAAACAATGTAGTATCTTGGACTCAGAATTTATAACTATAGCAAACAGAGTCTGGAACAGGAGCTTTTATTTTAACTCTCTTTAAAACAACCTTCAGAAATCACTTTCTGTATGTGTTACAGTCTCCTTTTACAGTTTAACCTCAATCCAATCAGCAGTCTCCAGGGATTTTCAAATCACTAAAGATTAAAATCCTCTCTGACTTGACTGTTTGACTAATGCTGTGTGTTTAATAATTCTACTTGTGAGAGATTTTATTTGACAAAATCCTGCTGTGTGGAACCTTCAGACGCTATACAGCTGTACTAAAATATAAAGCTCTGCTGTCTTTGGTTCTTTATATAGACTATACCCCAGCACTGAGAAAAAAAGAAGAAAACTTTATAGTACATATATTACTATGTTGATATTAACGTAACCACTGTAGTATTAAATTTACACACACTCTTTTAGAGCAGAGTAGTGAAAATGCGACTGTTACACAAACATTAGTTAAACTACCCTGTTGTCTTGACTGTTCGCAGAAATCAATTACATTTATGATTACATTTCAATGAAAGGTATTTTGTAAATGGGACAGAATTGTAATATTCTATGCTTTAGGCACTCATTAATAAAAGCATTTCAGTGTTAGTATTTGCAAGTGTTTTGCTTTTTAGCTTACACATTTCTTAGCATTCCACAGCTTATGTTAAACTTCATGTAAATATTGTGTTTATATTTTATGACAATGCTGTGACTTCAAATTTGAGTGGTAAGAGGAAAAAAGTCATCATTATTTTAGCCTTCAGTATATATTTGTGTAAGACAGCACTTACTCTACAGCACAGCTGAAAATAATGATAACCTTTTAAGTATATAGCATTAATTAGTAAACATGCTACCAGACAAAAAAAGACAAGATTGATGAATGCCTCGAATATCAAAGAAAACAGAAAAATAAGCGTGTTTCTACCTGAGGTAGCATCAATCACTGTTGAAACTCCTCTGCGATCAGAAACCGGACGTGATGACCCCGGCATGCTAACAGGTTCTGAACGAACTGGCTGAATCCTAAATGATAAGTTACAGTTACCACCTGGGTCAAAATCGTTGCTCAGGAGGGCTACAATCAAATCACAAACCTGAAACAGCCGACCAATTAAGCAACTACTCATTTTGAAATCTGCCAATAGTTAAAAATTTTCCTTCACTTTGTGGCGCCAAGGTATGGATAATCCATCTACAGACAGATCAAGACCATGCACAATGTGAATATCCCTAAATTATGTCTCAGATGTGAGTACCACCTCCTCCCCCTAATAAATCCACCCAATCCAAACTGCCTAAAATTCCTCCTGAACAGCAGCAATTTCTTTACCAGTTTAGGAGAAGAGGTACATCTGTAAATGCCTACTACTTTTGTTGTGTATGTATATATATGTGTTCATTTATATACGTATATATTCATTTTTTAATTTTCTGCTTTCTGTTAATGTATGCATATGGATAACACAAAAATATCATTTAATAACATATTTTACATTTATATTCTTACTTGCAGGAGCAATCATATGCAAGGAGAAATCACATTTTAAAAGCATGTATTTTCAGCCCAAGGCCAACCTGCTCACTTTTAATGGGACTGGTCATTGTTTGATGTTGTTAAATCTTGAGAGCTACTGGACAGGGCACAGAAACAAATGGTGCATAAAAGTAGTTCTACAAAATTGTTTGCTATCCATAACTTTAAATCCACGTTTAGCCCCACTCTGCTAGGCCTCCCCTTCCCAATTACAAATCAGCCAATGTCAAAAAACAGATGAATTAAATACGTGAAAAAGGAGGGAAAAAGAAGGAAGCAATGAAAAGGAAAAAATAAAAATAAAAAACAAAGGGGGAAGGGGAAAATATTCCAGAAGCTCCCTTACTCTTTGAACATACTGACCACTTCATGGCACAACGCTCCTACTCATGACTGAGGAAATTATTTTTTTAAGTAATGCAGAACTGTAAAAGCTAAGACAATAGTGAGCAAGGCCACCTTCCAAGGCCACCTACAATGAAAGAACTGACTTTTTACTATCTTTCATTGTAATTTACACAGGAAGAGGTGGCAAAATGGAATCTAAGCTGTTTAGCCTGGATGAATTTTTATTGTTGTTGAGTCATACACTTTTCTTAGACTTTCATCTGGACAAGCTTGGTGAAAACTATTACAGGTTCTACACAGATGGCCTCATTTAAGCATAAGGTAAGGTACTCACACAACAAATGTGAAACAGCTCAGAAATTCATCTTATTCTTACCTGAGACTATTGAGATCAAGATCATCTGTATCGAAGTCCAGAAGAGGCTGTGGGGTGTCACTGGGACCATGCGACTGCAGCACTGACGAACTGGATGAAATGACAGTGGTTTGGCCAGAGGGATGAATTGTTTTGAACTGGAACTGTGGGCCCATCCACAGGCGCCGATGAGGCCCGGTGTGAGTCACTATTTCAACCTGTGGGAATATGGGAAACGGTCAACACAAAACTGCAACCTAATACACTGAGTGGTTCTTTCAGTGCACTGAAGCCCCAGAATCTTGTTGTTCTCAAGCAAAAAAAGCATTTTGTGCCATCAGTTCAGGGAAAAACTGAATTTCAGAACATCTTTGTTAGAGAAAGGATGCTGTAGCCAAAGCCAAGAGCTTCTTGAAGAGCTGTGAAGGCTCTTGAACCATCTGCTTTAGGACACTGCACCCAGTTCTGAAAACTGCTCAAGAGGCTGTCAGTCCATCCTGGCCACCTTCACCTGGTCCTGTTCATTCCTCCCTCTGCCATGACAAAATGCATGCTGTAACTCAACTGCTAAACGTCTCCTGCTGTGGCAGCAAATAGGGGATCACGGTTCTGCCTGCACCTACCTGAAGTGGACAGAGGAATTGAAAGTTAATTTTCCCCAAATTTTCTTGTCAGTACCTTCAATCCTGACTGGGACACGGGATACACTTTTTAAAAGCAAGCAGTTACAGCTATGTTCCGGCTGCTTTCTAAAAGTTCACACATTAAACAGCACCGCTTCACATGTATATAGTGCGAACTGTATTTCAAATCAAAGCTTGTAATTATTGTTGGCATATCCGAGGAAACTGCTGGCAGAGACCATCTTGCTGGAAAGCAACAAGATTTGTAACAGAGCAATGCGAAGTGCACCGTGAGACACTGAGCACCTCGGGTCACATTCATTACTATGCTGATGGCAGGCAAGCATGGATGTGCAACACGGAGCTTAGGAGGGCTGACACGCTGATTTAACTGAAATTCTGACAATTAAAACAAAGCTAAGGGTGTTTGCTTGCCATGAATAACCACACGTACTTTATATTATAGGTGCATATGAGATCTGTGGGCATGTTTACGAGTGGATATACACACAAACACAGACAGAAGTGTCACAGTTCCGTGCCTACTTCCAAAAGGCACAGAGAATACAGAGGGTGTACCTAAGAAACAATAATTTCAAATACTCAGATTTTCCTTTAGGTATTGGCTTTCAATGAAACTAGATATAAACTTGAGAAAATAAGTTACATTTCAGTAAATGCATCCAAAATGCTTTTGAAAAATGTCTTTTTATGCTGATAGTTCTATACCTCATGAGTACCAACTTTTACAGACTGAAATATGTCAACTCTAGGAATACAAACAACCACGGGAATTTAAGAATGTAACATTTTCAGCAATGTACATGATCAGGATTGGGCCTTGTAAACAGAAGAGCAAACAACGTTGCTCAGTAATACAATTAAAAAAAATAAAACAGCCTTTAAAGATCAGAAGCAGGAAATGTGAAATGAAAATATTAAGCTCTGGTGAACTCATATTTTTAAGATGACAAAAATGGACTGCTAAATTTCTATAAATTTTTGCTGAAACAATGATTAGCTTCACACAAAGAATGTAATTTAGTAAGCACGTTCATCAAGATTTATTTCTGTATCTCTATGACATGCAAGTGCATCTTACAGTTTTCTTTACTCTTATATATGTGCATTAATACTGATTCTTAATTCTTTAAGAAACAATTTTAAACACTGAATTATGTTCTAAGTCCTCTGCTAACGTAAAATGACAAATGCACAGCCTATTTAGCACTATTTCCATCTTTGCATTTATCTTAGCGTAACTCAGATCGACTGTAGATGTTTCTGAGTCAAGTAGCTTTTATGTAGCAGTGTAAATTAGGCCACAGATAAAGTAATCTGTATATTTTAAGCTTGAAACCATCAGTGTCACAGAGCCGAGAGGTAAACAGATGCCTTTGCAATTTTACTGAGGCTATGGCCAGATGTTCCTATTCACTCTCCTGTTGTGTGCAGGACAAACATATTGTATCTACTTCACACTGACAGCACACATTACCCACTGTTCTAATTGAAAAGTTGAAGTGAAGGGCAGTGTTTTTTCACTGCATGCTGTTACTGTTGATAACAACACTTTAATTTTGAAAAACATACTTGCACTTTAGGCTTAATCTAAAGTGGCTTGCTTGGAGAATGCTAGCATCTTCCTGCTCAAAAGAGATATCATCACTCGTTTCACTTAGCAAAAATTAAACATTCCCGAAGCAATCTCTGAATTATCTGTGTTCTGAGTGATGTCACTTTTTTTTTTCCTTACATTTAGTCTGGTGGGGGGATAGATGTGATGAAGTCTGAGCAGTCTTAATTCCTTTGATGTTGTTTATCTTCCAAGAATTACCAATAAGCCAACCCCCATAACATAGGTTTACCTCACTCTTTTTCCCTGAGGTTGCCCACTATACTAAGTCACCAAAATAGGCAAATAAGCTCAACTATCCGAACAGTACTGGAGAGGCTTTACAAGTATAAGGACTACTAGAGGTGAAATCTTGGCCCCAGTAAGCTCAGTCACAAAATTCCCACTGACTACAGTGATCCAGTAGTTTCACTGTCTTTATGCTCTGAGAAATCAGAGACAAACTAAGCCAACAAGTTACATGAACGTGTAGCTATGTTTGAAAATTTAGGCCAGGTTAAGTGGATTTACAAGAATAGATTCCCCAATGAATGCAACTCCCAGGGGGGTGCATGTGGAAACCCACCTTCTCATTTTAGGAAAACTTTGTGAATGATTTATGTACCAGTAGGAAAAGCAAACCACATCTACAAGTATTTCATATTCATGAAATGATGCCACATACCCCAGCAACACATTTAATGCATCACTCCCATAATAACATTGTCCTTAAAATGAAGGAAACCCACCTATTTTGTCAGGATGAAAACCACATATAAGGTACCTATAATTGCTTTGGTAAATCCAAAGCATTCATAAATTTTATTTATTTATTTCTCTCTAGCCTTTTATTTCTAACAGGACCTAATTCTCAGTGTATTATTAATGACTTACATTCTTAAACTGAAGTTAAGCTTTGAGCCGAATCATCAAGCATTTTCTGAGTTTTTAAAAAGAAACTTCACTGACTAACAAGGCAAGATGGCTAAAATTACCAAGACTTAATCTCATATAAAAATATTCCACCAAGCAGGATTATTTTAATGCACCATAGTATTTGTATCTAGCCATAACTCAAAGGAATTATCAGCTGGGATGCAGGAACAGAAAATCAGGAAAAAAAGGAAATAAACCAGTTGATCTACAATTTTTACACTAAAATACAGTGAGTATAACACAGGTCATGACTGAAAAGGCATCCTTATTTTCCAAGCCCACTTTTGAATCCATGTCTGAAGAGGACCATGTCAGGAGAAAAAGGTAGTTAGGTAATTTCTGTGGACTACTTGAACTTCCTACTTCACCCTGAACTTGCCCAGGATGTGACTTGTCAATAATGACTGGGGCTTTATATAGTTTTTAATATACTTTGTATAAAACATAAAGACAGTCAAACTCCTACAGCGTTAAGTCAGTGAAGTCAGTTTTACAGAAAGCAATAGCCATGGTCCCCTGGGAGTTTACTTTCAATTTTGAGCAGAGTTGCAGATTTTATTTCTAGTGGACATTATTACTGTTTCTCTTCTGTACTGGAATGTTCCATAAGAGCATACCTGTGAAAGCCACTCTTCATCTTCTTGTCCGCTGTGGTCAGATGCTAAGCTGTCGTACGACTCATGTCGAGTGATAGGTCCAGGGCTTCCTGGTGGAACCACTAAGAATGAAACAAAACAAACAAACAAAACACACACACACACACAAAAGAAAATTAAAAAAACATATTTATTTTTAAATGTTTTTTTAAAAAGCTTTTTCAGTAAGTTATTGGTACAGAAATGTATTATTTCCCTAAATCTGTGGTGATATTCTGGAGCACAGAAAGAGCTCAAATATTGATATCAAAAGTGATGAAGATTTGTTCTTCAAACCTGGATGTATACATACAGCTACTATGATAACCCAATTGACTCTTCTTCTTTTAACCTTAAATACTAAGTGAACAGACAGAACAGCTACAGAACAGATGACAACCATCTGTCTTAAGGTATTTAACACTGAGAAATGCCACTGTCAGTGATGTAAGCCTTCTCTGCAAACTTTTCAGCAAAATTTGAACTGCTGAACTGCTGAAAATTTCCACACTGACAAAAGCTATCCTGAGGCACTGGGACAGGTGCTATCTTTGAACACAGACTACTCCAAGACTTCATGAATTGAAAGATCACTCTCATTTTGACATTACCATGGTTAATTCAAAGCTGACTTCATAAGCAACTTGGTTTTTAGGCTTTGATGTTTCTTTCAATTCAATTGTAAGGGCATCATTATCATAGTGTCACCTTTCCATTACAGTAGTTAACAATATATTTGTTAAGAGTCAGAGCAAAGTTTGGTATTTTCATTTGCTACGATGACTAAATACTGAGACTATTTCACTGTCCTGTAAAACACCAAATTCTGTATTCAAGTGTTACATTGCACTATGGTAATACTCTGTAGTACCTCATGATAACTTTGGACAGATAAGGAAAACCCTCCCTGCAGCTGCAAGTGACACAAGTAATTAGAGGCATTATTTCAAGCTGAGAGATAAATTCATCAGCAGCTATTAAGCAGAACAGTCCAGACACAACCTCCAAGAAACCCATAACCTACGAACTCCACAGAACTGAAGCACCTCCCTTCCAGCCACTACCACAGATGCTCAGCTTGGTAAACTTTTGGTTTGACTCACCATCAGATCTGTCCACAGTGCTCACCATTAAACCTTTTATTAACAGCATCATAAGAATCTTACATTACTACAATGACTTAAATACTTACGTCCATGTGGTTTTCAAAAGACGAATGAATAACCTCAATTCACAGAGCAAAACTAAGTTAATTTTGTTATTCATTGTTCTTGTTCCTCTTTATATGGACTCATTGCAATAGAAAATTTCAAGTTGTTCAGTTCTGTAGACTCTATAATATCCAAAAACACTTTTAAAACTATTCCCATTTATGCATACAACTTTGGAGTAAACCACAATTTAGTGTTCAAGTGCTACCACAAAAAAGACAGATAATTTTAAACTCATTATTGTGAAGATTAATATTTCATGATTCCTGGTCCTTGAGTCTTTTAAAGATGTCAGCAAAGCTTACAGTCTAGCTACTTTACTTCTCAGGCACTGGCATCACATTGCTTTGACTAAAACTTCATGCTTGAGAAAGCTGAAAACCAATGCACTCCAAGTGAGCACCCAAGACCATAGGACAGGTGCTATTTGCCATTTTCTGGTACCTGCCTATTGTCAGGGCCTGGCAGAGGCCCGGATTCAACACCGAGAAACTCTACCCACCTTGAGGGAAGAGCAGAGACTGCAAAAGCAAATCACAACAAGCACATGCAACAATGGCATTTTTTACTGTGGTAAAATGAGAGTTCATGCTATGGTGATAAAAAACCGGACAATACTAAAATTAGAACCAATATTTTAATATTCACATAATCTAAGAATGACTCGAAGTTTTTAAAATTGGTTTTTAAGAACTACATTATTATGGGGTTGACCTTTATGTGTCAAGTTTCCATCCACTACAAATTTTTACAGGCATGTTGTAAACTCCTAATAATAGGAATTTATAATGGCAAAGCAGACACAACTGTAACCATAAATACAGAACGGCGCCTCTACAATATAAACAGCACAGGCTTTTCATAAATCCATATATTATATGAAAAAATAAAAAGGATTTCTATCCCGTTTTTTTAAGTGGGTATCTAAACGCAACCTCAGCCATGGAGCCATTGGTAACACCTCCGTACTGCACTGAGGTCTGAAAGCTGCAGTATTCCCAACTCAGGTCTGGGCCTAGCTTATTACACAACAGAAGTGTAATGCGTTAGGATAATATAAATATATATATAGAGAGAGAGAGGCCTGATATATAATATATATGTAGAGAGAGAGGCCCAGTCTCACCAGAGGTTGTGACAGGAAGCCGCCACCCATAATGGCCGCCACCCATAATGGCCGCCACCGCCACACACTGAGGCGAGCAGGAGGCCCAGGGGTGCCTCAGAAGCCCTGGGCCTGCCCACGCACACGCTTCAGCAGCTCCAGGTGTTATTGCAGCACTGTGTGCTCATCAGTTTTCAAAGTAATATAGGAACTATTCATCTCTGTCATGACTGCAGTGACAGATGTGCTTCTGTGACTTGCAGATGGGTCTGCCCAGCCCATATCAAACTTGGTATTACGAAAATCCACACACTGTCCCAGGTTCCAAACTGCTGACGATTCACAGCACATACCTGAGTACGACACCAACACATCCATACTTCCCCCTTACTGGTGAAGTTTATATTTGAAACCAACGAAACAAAGCCATTATTTTGACACATTTTGCTGTTGCCCTAATCTTCCCCATATCTCCCGACTCCCTGACCATAAATCGCGCTGACTGCAGGAACGCCTGTTTCTGAGGGCACAGCTGATCGACTGCAGCTTTCCTGCTATCGAGCGCTGCTAACAAACTGCTCATGACTCTAGCAGATGTTTTTGCTTTCAAACCAACAGGAACTTTATGGACTGTTCTGAACTTTTTTTTGTTCCTTCTATCCCAGGGGCAACTACTAGAGCTGTCAAGATTTGGGAAACTGCTATCCAGTGACTAGCAGCAAAAATGCTGGCCCGGGGAGCAGCATCCACACTGCTCCGTCACCCTATTTCTCCATTGTGCAATACTCATACGGCAAGCTGAACACTACATTTTACTGGATATTCAAGACAGCTTGACAGAAAAAAAAAAACAAAATTCAATTTTAACAACAGTTTTGGTCCTACACCGTATTGCCTTTTCCTGTACGATCCCAGCTTTGCATAGGTCTCTTGATAACCCACTTCAGTGCAGCTTTGGGCTGCAGCATTAACTCTTTCTACCAAAAAGTGACGACATGCTGAATTCCACGGAAACGCTCTGCCTTCGAGTTCACCAGCAGGGCAACAGTGATAAAGCCTCAGCTGAGGTCAAACCTCAGTAATTTATTTTGCTATTTAATAAAATAGCATTTATGTACCACACCTATCACAAAAGCAGGCATTTAAAAAAGAGTCTGGTTTTGATAGCAGGATCCCATAATGATGGTCCCAGCCTTACCACAGGCAAAGCACGCTCAACTCCCACTGCCCTTAGTGGGAGCATGCAGCATTCTGTGAGATATGACCTTGTAAGACAAGTGATCCTTGCTGGAGATTTGCCATTGCTGTACTGCTTATTACAGATATACATACAGTCATTTTTTTGCAAGTTAAAATTGGCCTTGAAGCTATAGGAGCAAATATGTCCTAAAAATCTAAAAGCGATTTTTTCTGCACACCTCTTGCATCATTATCAACTATTCAGTTCCAGGATGAGATTAATTTAAGTTTGGAGGAACATTTCCAGGAAATTAGCTTAAAAGTACTATTTTATCTTCTTGCCTAATTCTTTGAAAAACTGAATTCCAACTTGAAAATACAACAGCTTCTTACACATCAGCTCAAATGTTCTTACGCTGTAACATACAGTTCTTCAATTTTGAAATAATTTCACTATAATGCTACACAATAATAATTCAAAATTCAAAATTTTCAATGGCTTTGTATCAAGTACTTTTTCTTGCACTTTTATAATTTCTCTTTCATTGGGAAAAAGTCATGTGTGTCACAAACACAGACAAGGAGCAAGCCCTTCTTGCACAGAGATATTTTACTGGCAATTGCAAGTGCCAATAAATCCAATGTTTTGTGTCTGAGCTATGCCAATTTTTAATTTCTTGCTATGCTTACTCCATCATCTGGAACAAACACGTATCAAATATCAGAATGCAACTCTGTTTACTTTAAAATTAAGCGAACACAGTAATTTGTACAAATACCTGCAGAGCAAAAAAACAAACAAACAAAAAAAACCCTGCAACAAAAAATGAACAGTTCTTAAAAATATAAGGTGAGAATTAAAACATACAATTTTTACCTATGCAGCATAAAACGAGTTTCCAAATATCATTCATAAATGCAAAAACTGTAAGCAAGCTTGCATGCATTCAAAGTCACTTTTTAAAAACTGGAGTGCTACACACTGCAGAAATCAGGGCTTTGTCATAAATACCTGGTAAGAGGCAAAACCACCTTTGAGCTGCGCAAAAGTGCTACTGGGGACTTCAGACTCTGTTCTTCCAGTGAAAAGTGATCTATATCAACACCAAGTCTGGAATATATTCCTATCTATCGCTCTATTCTGACTATTTCTACTGAACCTTTCCCCCTTTAACTAAGGAAGATCAGAATCTGAGTGAAAACTGTTGTTAATCATTTTCTTTCTTGACCTGAACATGGTCCTTTCATTTTCATCCCTCAAAATAAAAGGTGCAAGTGCTTACCAGTGCTCTAAGGTAAAGTTAAAATAAATACATAAGGAAATAAATAAATAAATAAATAAAATTAATCCACATGCATCTTTCTGTGCAGCAACACGATTAATGTTACTACTATACCAAAGATCATTAAAGGCAAGGGTCTAAAAAACATTACAAATTTAGTCACTTGGGTGATAACTGTTAGCGCTAGGAAAATTGCACAGAAATGACCGCAGAGACAGAAGTTCCACAAACCAAAGGCTGAAGTACATCTGAACTGGTATTCCTCTGAAACTCTAGGACTGAATTCACACAGTTAAATGATTAAG